ACTTTACCGAGAATATTTTCAAAGAAAAGGCATTATTCATTATAGAAATTCATTATTTCGTTCGTTGAACAACCAACGAGATGAAATTATGCTTTAGCGATAAGTCGGTAGCGAATTAGCGATGCAGGCATCCATTCAGTCATGTTAAGCCTTTTTCATATAAATTATAATAATAAAAAAGTATTATATGAAATTAACCTTTCATCTAAATTAAAACATCAATCTTAGATAGTTATTTACCATTATACTTCCTTTCTTGCTGTAATTATTACGGTTGCCGCAATTCTTTTTGGCAGCATTCGCATCAACGATAATTTGGCGATTTTTTACGGCCCTCGAAACAGAATAGTACCAAAAGTAATAGATGATAGAGAAAAAAATGATGACATAGCAAATTATTTATATTAATTAGCATGTATTATGAAATGGAAAAACTGGCATTAGTTATTTCTAAGAAACAGTATAGCTTCGGCAAGATCTTGTTTGGAGAACAATAGATCCAATTTGATAAACTTCAGAACTGAGAAGTGTCTTTCCACACTGACTTGAGTAGAAGGAAGAGATGTTACTGTTAGGGCTACTTCTTTTAACTTTTCAGGATAGAATTTTATAAGTTCTAAAAGAGGCGTCTTGCAAGGGCAATCATATTTCTTTATTTCTTCAAAAGCTGTGTAGAAATCGTGTTTGTATTTTTTCATTTTTATGTCTAAAGGATCTTGGTTCTTTATTTTCATTTGCTTTACCTTTGCCTTTTCAATATTATCCAAAACTATTTCTCAGAATCTAATTCATCACTGAAAGAGGATGATAGAGACTCGGTTGCAATGTCTGCAGTTTGACTGTCCTGATTTGAATACTCCAATTGTTTTGAAAATAATTTCATTCTTATTGAAAGTTCATAGATGGATTTCTTTGCCTTCTTAATTTGTTCATCATCTAACAAAATTAAGTGTTTCGGATCTGCATATATTGAACCCAGCAAGATCTCATTGTCTAGCAAACTAGTTTCTCTTTTCTTCATTGAAGAAATGATTCTTTCTGCAATAAACCCTCCATTTCAGAAAGTACAAGCATCACATTCTCCCATTCTCGCCTCCTATTAATTCTTCAGATTGTAGCTTTTTTGTGGCTATATATGGTGTAGAAAGAAGAGTTTCCAATTCTGCAAGGTCATTTCATAGTCTTTCTGTTAGTGAAACATTAGAGTTATCTACATCTTCTAAAAAAGTTCTTAATTCTAACAACCTCTATATCATGTACTTCCCCATAGCAATGCTTGATCAATAATTGCTCCTTTTCCTGCTCCCTTCCTAAGAATGGCATCAATTTTGAAAGTTCTTGCTGATTACCTAAATTTACCATTGAGATTTGTAACTAAATGAAGTAACTAATGAATCAGTTTAATCACTAATGGCAAATATCGCATCCATCCTCCTCTCTTATATTTATTTATTAATGTCAATAAAATGGAAAATAACTATTGATTAATGTAGTCCATAAATAAAAATAAAAACTCAGCTTGTCAATATTTTTTTTTTTTTTCAATTCATTTTAATTTCATTTCAAATTCAAACTGTCCAACAAAAACTGGAGTTGGAGTCAACCTGTTTTTAGCGATTTCGGCTCCGACTCCTCCAAATCTGCCCAACTCTGATTCCGACTCCACAGCCCTGATAAACCCATAAGCATAAAGGAATAAAAATGCAATCTTACAATGAATGTGAATACTCATGTAATCAAAATTCTGGCAAATATATATATATATATATATATATATATATATATAAAAACTTAAAACAGACCACACATACAATAAAATATTTATCATGAAAGACACCTGAAATCTTGATATAATTATTTATATAAAAAAAAAAACTAGCAATCATGAGATTATTTACCCCATCAGCCACTAAAAGATTAATTTAAAAATGTTAGGCATTATTTAAATACAGCTATCTTGATGTAACATAGAGTTCGATGTAAGTGTATATTATAGTGAAAATAACGGATCCCTTTAATAGGAATATAACAGGAAATATTTATATATATATATATATTATATATATACAGTAGAAGTCCATTAGTCCGGCATCCAACAGTCCGGAATGCCCGATAGTCCGGCATCGCTCCGGAAAATTGTAAAAATTTTGGTTTTCTCCAAAAGTGTGTCTTTAAAGCAAATAAAACCGCTCGAGAGCTATTCGGAAGTTTTCGGGGTAGTTCGAGATCATCCGGAAGCGCTCGGTATTGTTCGGAAACAATTAGCGGCCGGCAAGTCTCAGCTGTCACAACAAATTCAGGTGCAGTGCAGCTCCATTAATCAATCATGAAGCGTCTTCGCCATTTTTTTGTGCGTTGTTGTTTTGTGTCCTTTCACATCGCAGTAAACGTAACTTTTGAAACTGTTTATAAAAAAAGTGATTTTCTTTCTAACTGTACAGTGACCATGTTTTCAAAACCTAAGCCTTCGAGTTCAAAAGGAGAGAAACGAAAACACGTAACACTGACTCTCAATCAGAAACTAGAAATCATCAAATGGCTAGAAAAAGGCGAGAATAGAAATGTTTTAATGAATGAGTTTAATATTGGCTCATCAACTATTTATGACATTAAAAAACAAAAGATGAACTAATGAAGTTTGCTCTCAATCGGTAACAACTGAAAAATTGGCTTCTAGACAAACATTAAAACCAAAACTGGAACAGCTAGATAGTGTATTGTTCAAATGGTTTAGTGTAGTACGTTCTGAAGGAAAGCCGGTAACAGGGCCAATGATTGTTGAAAAGGCAAAGAAATTCGGCCAAGATTTAGGAGTTGCTGAAAGTGAATGTAATTAGTATTCTGATGGTTGGGCTCAGAAACTTTAAGTTTCGGCATGGAATTCGAAGACTTGATGTAACTGGAGAAACCCTTTCAGCAAACCAAAACTCTGCAGAAAAATACAAAGACGAGTTTGAGAAAATCGTAGCTGATAATGATTTAACACCTGAATAGATTTACAATGCTGATGAAACAGGGCTATTGTGGCGATGTTTACCAACATCTACACTAGCTGGGGGAGGAGAAAAAGCAGCCAAGGGTTTTAAAAAAAAAAAACAAAGACAGATTAACCGTTTTGCTATGTGCTAATGCGTCTGGAAACCACCGAGTGACCCCTTTTGTGATAGGTAAATCTGCAAAACCCAGGGCTTTTAAGAATGTTACACACTTGCCTGTCCAATACGATGCTCGATCAAATGCGTGGATAACTGCCGCCCTCTTTAAAGACTGGTTTTTTCACCACTTTGTGCCTGAGGTCAAGGAATCCTTCAAAAGCCTTGGTGTACCAGAAGATACTAAAGCCATCCTTCTTTTGGACAATTGCAAAGCCCATCTGCCAGTAGATGAGTTAGTTTCTGGAAATATTGTTGCTCCTCTGCTCCCACCTAACGTAACATCTTTGATTCAACCCATGGACCAAGGGGTTATTCAAAATTTTAAATGCTTTTATAGAAGGTCTTTTATTCAAGGCCTGTTAAATGCCGACTGTGACGTGACTGATTTTCAAAAAAGGTTTACAGTAAAAGATGCCGTCTATGCTATTGCACAGTCTTGGAACCAGGTAAAAAATACAACACTCCAAAAATGCTGGAGAAAACTTTGGCCAGCTGCAAAACCCTGCATCTGACCTAACTCTACAGACTGATGAGGGAAGAAAACCATCAAGACGCTCTGACCAAAGTTTTTGGATGTCGTTAGAAAGTACTGACAATCCCTTGAAAAACCTGCCTGAAGATGAGGTAGAGGAGTGGCTTTTAATCGATGAGAATGAGCCTGTTGAACAAGAATTAACCGATGAGGACATTATCAACATTGTAGTAAACCCTCAGCCTACTCAAAATCTTGAAGAAAATGACTCGGATGCCGAAACGGAAGAAAAGGAAAAAAATCAAGCTGGGCAGAAGCTGCAGAATCACTAATAAGTTTATCTCTTTTGCCGAGGCTAGTACTAGCTACAGTGCTTCAGAAATTATTGATTTCCATATCATTAGAAATAATTTTATACTAAACGCCAAAAGTCAAGAAAAAAAAAGACATTCGTGACTTTTTTAAAATCTAAGTGAAATATGTTTTACATTACGTGTACATACATTATACGAAATGTAAAATAAACTTTGTTGTATGTATTTGCATACTGTATTTTTAGTTTAATTATTAACCTAATTGTTCTTATAATTACCGCCCGATAGACCGGAATTTTCGGTAGTCCGGCACCAAGCCGGTCCCGAACGTGCCGGATTATCAGACTTCTACTGTATATGCATTTAATAGTGACTTTCAAAAACTTACTGATAAAAGAAATAACAAACAAAACAGAAAAGTGTTAAAATATGACAGATATACCCAAAATGTGTTAAAACCAAAAATAGATGAGATTGCTTGTATTTTAACTGAAATCACATTATGTACTTATGTTTCACACACTTATTTTTCATGAAATTATTGAAATTTTCAGCTTTTATTTGGTCTTTATGTTTTTCTACAAAATATACTTTCAATAATATCTTGCTGCATAGCTTTAATGGAAACTATATTTTGAACATCAAACACTGTCTAAACATATTCATAGCTTCCAATATTTGTTTGTTTAAAAACATCTTTTTTCCCCCTTTTTTCACATTCTTGATTTTGATGTCATAAAAGTTCAATAATTTAACTTGTTTTGATCTTAGTGCAGGACTTCAAAATTATTACTGTTTATATTACAACACCAAAAAAACGATAGTAAAGCAAGTAGTGTTAGGTTAAGATAATACTGTAGAAATTCAAACATATTTCATTCATTCCATTGTTTCCAGTACATTCATTAAATTTGAAAAACCAAGCAATCTGAGTTTGTACTATATAGAACAAATTCAAAAATCCTTATTATGGAATTTTTAGATAGAATCACAATTTGTTACATGAAACTTCATTCATTGACATTACATAATAAATGTATTTAAAATAAGATCACATACCAACTCCTGATATTACACCAAAAACACTAGGAGGTTTAGACATCTTTTTAATTTCTTCTGCTAACAATCTAGTAGTATGTACACGACTAGCATATACATTTTGTTGAAAGCCAGGAGTCCACCTAAAGTAAGAAAAAGTCTTCCTTTTTGTCACTTTGTACATTATACCTTCTGAATTTTGTTTCTTCATATATAGAATTAAATATATATGGTAACATATAAAAATTACCTTAACTATACAGGTACACAAAAAGTGAAAATCGTAACTACTAATTGAATACCAATTTATTTATAGACATGATACAGATGAACCTTTACATTTGAAATAAAAACTGCAAAGCAATAACACAAAGTTGAATTAAATATCACTATTGGAAATAAACTATACCAGGGGTTCTCAACCAGTGGTACGCAAGAGACGCAAAGAAGCAAAGTATTTTTAACTATTAAATTCAAAAAATAAAACTCCCGACATCCTAATTGAGTTTTTTCTCTAACACTCGTAAATTTATGTGATCTGATCTTTTTTCAAGAGTGGTGATGGTAGTAGTACTTTGTCGTGGTGATACTAAAGGTTTTTGATTTTTGTTTGGATGGTACGTGTTAGTCAAAAAGTTGAGAACTGCTTAACTATATTGTTTGGTATTCTTTGGTAACATAAACTAATTTCAAATTCTTAGCAGACTGGGAATAAAAAAAAAAAAAAATGACAGTCTTGGGAAAGTTTTAAAACAAACCTTTCTATCAAGGCAATATTATTTAAGGTAATACAGTCAAAAGTCGTTAATTCGGACACCCATAATCCGGAATGATCTATAATCTGGACCTCAAAAGGTTCAAACTTTCTGCACATGCATCGCACTGAAAGGCGTAAGGCCTTTACGGCTGAGAATATGCTTGTGCGCGTGTGCAAAATACATTTACAAGTGCGCGTTTAATGTATAACAGACGGTATAAGATAAGCTAAAATTATTTAATTATCTATTTCAGTTAATGTTGCAGATTGCGTTGTTCCTTAATCTTCGAATTGGATCCGGCTTATTATTTTTTGCAGACTGTTAGAGCAATTTTATAAAAGTAAGCTTGAACTTTCGATTATGTTAAATAGAATTTCTGATATATATTTATTAATATGTAAATAATCTACGAAACGAAAGTATGTTTCGAAGTTCATTATACAAAAAATGGATAAAGGCATATCCTTTGTTTATCCAAACTTTAACGTTTATCTTTAACGCCCCAGCGCAAATGATTTGGAAGTTGATGTGTCAGCACTATCCTTATCTTCAGGGCAGATGTTTTTATTTTATTTGGCTTATGATTCCTTATTAAATGTAGTATTTCATCTCGATGTACTCCATCTTTGATATGATTTAAATCAAATTCCTTGTCATTATAATTCGCTTCCGATAGCGAAGAAAGTAACAGAGGTTATTGAAAACGAAAAAATTTCAATTGACAAATTAGTCGGTATTCTCGACACAGCAATTATAGGACTTGAACAGCGGAACTTTGTAACTAAACAAGAAATTATGTCTGTTTAAAGAATTAAAGGGAATGTATTTTCACATAAAAAACGAAGCAAATTAAACAACTTACATTGAAAGAAATGTTTAATAAAGTAAACAAATAAGCTTTTTTTTTTTGTAAATTTTGATACCCTTTAGATAATAATTGTTCTTTATTTCATAAATTACGGTTTCATATTTTTAATTTTAAAATTTCTGCATGCCATCTTACCAGATTTAAACTGATGATCTATAATCCGGAAAAATTGATAATCCGGAATCGCCGAAGTCCCGACGAGTCCGTATTAACGACTTTTGACTGTACTCAATTTAAAATTTAAAACCAAGTCAAGTAGCCAATGGCTACATAATTGAATCAATGCAAGGTTAGCTCAAAACATCTCATCGGGATAATAACTTAACTGTTGGCAACTATAATGGAAGCCAAAGACTACGATCTTATCTGAGTTAGCAATACAGTCAAAAGTCGTTAATCCGGACTCGTCGGGACTTCGGCAATTCCGGATTATAGATCATCAGTTTAAATCTCGTACGATGGCATGCAGGAATTCTAAAATTAAAAATATGAAACAGTAATTTATGAAATAAAGAACAATTATGATCTAAAGGGTATCAAAATTTACAAAAAAAAAAAAAAAAAAAAACTTAATATTTATTTGTTTACTTTATTAAACATTTCTTTCAATGTAAGTTGTTTAAGTTGCTTTGTTTTATGTGATAATACTTTCTCTTTAATTCTATAAACAGACATAATTTCTTGTTCAGTTACAAAGTTCCGCTGTTCAAGTCCTATAATTGCTGTGTCGAGAATACCGACTAATTTGTCAATCGAAATTTTTTCGTTTCCACTAACCTCTCTGTCACCTTCTTCATGTCTTTATCCATTTTTTTGCAGCAATTCCACATTTTGTTTGACGGGCATCGAAACATACTTTCGTTTTGTAGATCCTTTGGGAGCTCCAGCATCGGAAATTCTATTTGACATAATCGAAAGTTCAAGTTTACTTTTATAAAATTGCTCTTAAAGTCTGCAAAAAATAATAAGCTGGATCCAACTCGAAGATTAAGGAACAACGCAATCATCAACATTAACTGAAACAGATAATTAGATAATTTTAGCTTATACCGTCCGTTATACATAAAACGTGCATGCGAAAACGTATTCTGCGCTAGCGCACACGCATATACGCAGTCGTAAAGGTCTTACGTGTACGCGTACGCGTAAACGCCTATGCACATGTGTCAACGCGGCACATGGGCAGAAAGTTTTTAGCTTTGAAGTCCGGATTATGGGTGTCCGAATTAACGACTTTTGACTTGTACTAGCAACCAGTAGCGTAGCTAGGACGGGACAAAGGGGGACATCCGTCCCCGGGTGCAGCATCCAGGGGGTGCCAAATTGATGATAAACATTTCAGAATGAAATGTACATGAATGAAATGTTTTCCATTCTTGGAACACAGAAAGGGGTGCAAAATCTTTAGGTGTCCCTGGGCGCTGAAAACCTTAGCTAAGCCTTTGCTAGCAACATAGCCTCAAGAGACAGAAATACAGTCTATCTTGCAATCTAATAACTTCGGCTTAAATACTTTAAACCTGATTTCCATTATGATAGAAAAATTGAAGGGAGATGTGACAATAACAGATCTAAATCATAACAGCTGGTTAGATTAACATAATGTACTCTTACAAAATTATACCATGGTAAAAATACATGCTTCAATTATGGAATTCCAGCCTGATCTTTAAAATATGGTAACTGGTAGTTTGGCGACATTTTGGAGGCGATAAAGGTTACTTACTACCTGGGACTTTGGATAATGTGAGCAGTACTCAGTTCCGATTACGCATTATTTCGTGTGAGAGAAATGAGAGATCATGGGATATGTCATGTGATATTAATGGACGAATTACGGTTCTTTAATCGGAAAAGGGGGGAAATCGGGAAAAAATCTGGAAATTTTGTATTTGTCTTTATTTTGTGTTGTGTGAAACAGTGTTCGTTAATTTTTGAATCCCATGGCCCTAACTAAAGTGAATTCTAAATGGGTATTCAGTGGGATTGAAAGGGGTAGTAATAAGTAATTCTTTAAGGTTGTGCGAGATAGAAGTAAAGATGTTTTATTAAGTTATTTATTTTACTTGGTACCTTGGTGTGAACTATAAGTATGATTTTAAAGATCCTGAAACAGAAATAAGAAAAGTTTATCGAACACGTAATCAAGATTCTGAAGAAGAATAGGTAAGTTAGTATTTTTAATTATTTGAGGATATTATTTTTATGCATTGTTCTAAATGTAAGGTGGAAGTAAAGTAATTTGCGTAAACGTGCATGGAAATAATTTAAATATTTGACACTAAGTATTTGTAACCATTTGTAATGTTTGCGGTATAAATTAGTTAGTGACGTTTGTAATATAATAGATAATGTAGAGGTAAAAGCTTTTTGGATATTTTATTTATTTTATACGGGGAAATGTTCATATTTGGAAAGGGTATATACTTTTTCGCGATCAGGTAATTTCAGATATGTTCTTTTTACCGGGTTTAAAGATTCAGAAAATTGTTATGCATTTTCGTGAAATTTTTCTAATTTATGAGAAAAAAGCAGTGTACATGGATATAGTGAAGAGTGTGCGCAATGCCATTTTTGTGCAATTCTGGGATGTTTTTTTAAGTAAAAATAAGTCGACGTGTACATGGTTTAGTGATATTTTAATTAAATGATAGTTATTTTGTGAATTTTATGTTTGTAGGAATTTGGTATACGTTTAAGTTGAAGTAAACGTGCATGGAAATAATTTAAATATTTGACACTAAGTATTTGTAATGCTTGCGGTATGAATTCGTTGGCGACATGTATAATATAATAGATGATTTAGAAGTAAAAGTTTTTGGATATTTTGTTTATTTTATATGTGGAAATGTTCATATTTGGAAAGGGTATATACTTTTTCGCGATCAGGTAATTTCATGTATGTTCTTTTTACCGGGTTTAAAGATTCAGAAATTGTCATGTATTTTCGTGAAATTTTTCTAATTTATGAGAAAAAAGCAGTGTACATGGATATAGTGAAGAGTGTGCGCAATGCCATTTTTGTGTAATTCTGGGATTTCTTTTAAGTAAAAATAAGTTGGCACATGGTTTATGTGTATGTGTTATTTTGAAAAACGCGTAAGGAGTATGGAATTGTGTACTTTTTCCCAATTTTGCAGTGAATATTTGTCATGATTAAGCAGTTTTGTTAGATAAAATTTCTAGCATAAGTGTAATTCGGCTAGTAGATTGTTGGAAGAAGTGTTCAGTAGATAAAAAGAAAAGAAACGTCTTTACTTCGTGAAGACAAAATGGCGGCGGGAAAAAAAAATAGAGGGTTGCTGTAGGAGAGTTGGTCGCCAAAAAAACGCCAAGTTACCATAATGTAAAGATCAACCGAATTCCATTCTGTTCCAATATTAACAAGTGATACTGCAGATTAGGTAACATCAAAAATAAAGAACGTTTCCATATTAATGTAACACAGAAAATTATTTAGTTTAAAAATCTGAACACATTTTGAAAATTGCTTACTAAACTTTAACAATGTGTGATGCTTACTTTCGTGTAGGATCAAGAACATTCTGGCCTGCTACATTGATGACAGCAACACACGATTTTGGCAAGCCTTCAGAAGCTAAATCATTCTAAATCAGATAACACTTTTAGTAATTATACATAGATTATAATGATTTTGATATTTAATCATGGTAAAGTTGTTGTAAAGTAAATTGAATATATCACAAGTTACAAAATTATTTATAACCCACATAATAATTTGTAGGAAAATTAAAATTTAACATAAGTTACAAATATGTAACATTATTTTTTATTTTTATAGCATTAGTAGACTTGAAACACTTTTTAATTTAATCTTGATTTAAAAAAAAAAAAAAAAAAAAAAAAAACTACTACATAGGTAAAATCCTATTCTTGACTGTAGATACATTCATTCATAAGAATAACAAATATTATATATTTAGTTCTTCTATTCCACTTTTAGTTAAAGAAGCAAAACATTCTTACATATTTACCCAAGATATAGCATTCAGACTTGGTTGTCTAGAAATAAGTAATACATCATATCCTATTTCTTTCAAGTTCCTTGTTATTGCTCGTCCTATAAAACCTGTACCACCACCTAGAACAGTTACACATATTAATCAAAGGAGAAAATCTTTACACTGATCAACAAAGCAATAATAATTAATGCTTACCAACGACAACTGTTCCCGCTACCATTATTCAAACTGCAAAATATATTAGTTCATGTTATTTGTATAGATTTGATGATGTAAAATTTAATGATGAAGAATATATTCAAATTTTAATTAAATTTAACACAAATACTTTATAAACCAAACAAGAAAATTTAGAAACTTATAGCAATAAAGAATTTGGAGAGGAGGGGAAAACTTCTAATTATAACTAAGAATTTTATATAGTTTACATACAGCGTAATTATTAAATTTTCTAAAAACTGAAACAGTTACGTAATTACAAAAATAGAAACAATTTTTTGTTCTTTAATCATCAATGTAGCTTTTTTTGTTAAATTAATGTAGTGAAAGCAAAACTAATGCAAATTTTTCTTCTTCGGATTAAACTTCAAGTCAATACTGAAAGCCCGCAGGGAACATTCAAGTCGGTCAAGATTCAAACGCGCGACTTCCAAAAGTCATTGCAAAAACATTGCGAGAATATGTGCTGCCATCTAGCGATATCTATTTGTATTAATATATCATTGACGGTTATTAAATTCTTAAAAATATCTTCGTGTGTATATGTAACACCAATCAGTATTAATATTCGTAAAATTAGCGCTCAGTATTTACAGCATAGAACCTCAATCAAAGTTTGTGTAGAAGACACAATGAGTATGGTCATATTGCAGATAGAAATCTTGCTGGCGATCCATGAATTTGTCGCCAAGGGCGGTCATACACTCGTGTGCAAAATTGAGAGAATTTAATTTAAAAATTATATTTATTTTTATGACAAATACTAAAGACTTGAACTAAAGATACTAATTATGCCGCCGACGAATTATGCAAATACTCAAAGTCGAAGAAATAAGCCTGCACTTGCACGTCCACGGAGCTGTGATTGTAAAGGGAATATAAAGGGTTCTCGGTGATTTGTGTGCTCGTATTCCTTCACAATATTCTTCGTGTTTCTCATAAGAGTTAGGTACATTTTATAAAGCATCATGTAAAATGAGTAGCCAAGAACGAATGAATGACGGAGAATTAGATGGAGAATTGTCGGTAGACTGGAGGTAGTTCAATCACAAACGCAGGTAGCTACAGAATTGTAACCCAGTCTCGTCTGACGCGCAGTCTCGTCTGCGATTCGTGGAAAGAGTTTTATGACACTGGATCCATACTGAGAAGACCTGCGAGCCCAAAACATTCAAACAAAACTTCAAATTTAGATTGCATACATCGAATTTTGGTGCATTCAGTGGAGGATTTAAGTCAAAATTCCATCTAATACAAAGGCATAAGATCAAAAAACAAAGGAACTGCAACTATTTAATGAAAACGTGCCTAAAGTATGTGCAGTGGACTATCTTGGCATCATGACTAATTAAAAACTCACCTCGACTGATCATACAAAGTTTATTCGCAGGAAAGTGAATGCAGTCATTCATAGCCTCTATCGTCTGCTTGGAAATCATTCAAACTTAAGCCATAAGTGCAAAAGGCATCTTTACATGTCTGTGAAAAAACCAATTGTCATATACGCATGCCCTGCTTGCAATCCCACCTGCAAACGTAAAGATCCTGCAAACCCTACAGAGTAGAGTGCTGAGAATAATTACTAATGTCCATTATGTAGTGAGCATCGCGATCTTAAAATCCCGAGAATGCAAGTGACTTTTAAAACACTCAACGACAATTTTTTCCATAAAGCGGTTAACTGTCGTACTGTGAACTACTCAGATTTTTTCAATATGAAATTTTAGAGCATGACAAACTTTTAAGACCCTTCCCAGCACATTTGCTAGAAGATGAAAATTTCATCATCTGATTTTGAAAACCCTATCCCCCATTTTTGATATCAAGTCACAGAAGTGTGAATGGACTGTATACGAACTATGCAGTTGTATATATTGTTTATAGTATTTTATTTCTTTTTCACTTATTTTATGTGCAGCGGTACTTCACTGCTGGTACTGTTACTGGTCGGCCAAGATCGACAACGACGAATGAGGATCGTTGTTTGGCCCTTTGAGCGCGGCGACTCAGAAATGATACAGCTTCACAACTTTCACGTGAGCTGTAGGGTGTCACTGAACACGCCGTTTAACGATCTACGGGTTCCCGAAGGCTTCATGGGATAGGGCCCTATGCCAGAAGACAATTTGTTTGTGTCCCGCTCACTGCAGTCGTAAGCGAGAGCGTTTAGCATGGTGCAGACAACACCCACCTTGGACCAGACTTCAGTGGAGTATTATGCATTTTGCAGATAAGTCGAGATTAAGCCTGGACACTGATTCTAGGTGTTCCTATGTCTAGGAAAGAGCCAAACAATAATATATGAAAACAATACTATTCGTCAATAAGCAGATGAAGTAATCATTACGGCGGAGGAGGTGTAATGGTTTGAGTAGGCATTTTGTTGGACGGCCGCACACCCCTGCATGAGGGGTGTGCAGCCCCTGCACCTTCAGTGCTATGAGGAATGGAGAGATCTTAGAGACCTATGTTAGACTTTTCAGGGGCGCAGTTGGTCCTGAGTTCCCATTAAATAGGCGACACCTCTCGTCACATAGGGATCAGCTTCTCGGCGATTACCTGGAAAGCGAGAATATTTGTCGTATGGAATTGGCCATCCAGTTCTCCTGAGCTTAACCCTAGAGAGTATGTCTGAGATGCTTTCGGGACGGCAATTTCATCTGGCCATCTCTCTCAGAGAACCATCTTGAATTTAAAAACGGTCTTGCTGTAGGAGAGGGATCGACAGCCACAGGGTGCTCTTAACTGCCTCATGTCCAGTATGCCATCATGCTTTATACCCCCTATTAGACTCATCTTCAGTTTCATAACAACGTGGATTTTGGACTTCCCTTCATTGTCATACTGATTATCGTGCGTAAATTAAATGACTTTTGAATGGTACATCTCTTTCTTTGTTACATATGTATATTCATACAAAATTTCATTAAAATTTGTATACTAGTTTTTCAGAAATTCGACGTAATATGCAAATTCTCTTGATTTTGCACACGATTGTACAAATACATAAACATATTTGTATAGCTCTAATAAGTTAAAATTCATTATCTAAATAATGAACCACAAAATAATGAATGCAAATACATCCAAAACATTAAGTAACATCAAGTTAGAATTTATAATTTTGAATGTGAATGCAAGTAAACTGAATAAAAAGTCAGAAAAGAAGTGAAAAGAATATCGGCAATTGCATCCTCTGAAAGTTCTAAAGAATGGGCATAAAAATTGTAAGATTCTTCCTGTTCTGCTTCATAAGCTCCACAATCTGTTACAGGCCGCGGCTGTCTCTCCAAGTTTCCTCCACCTGACCCCATCCGGCGCAATAGCCTTCCATCGGTTAACTCCAATTAACCTTAAATCTTGCTTGACATCATCTATCCATCTAATGGATTTTTTTCCTTTCCGTCTTACTCCCTCAGTTCTCAAAAAGGTTACCTTTTTGGTTGGAGATGCATTATCATATCTAAACACATGGCCCAGCCATCTGATACGAGATGCCTTTACGATTCTCACAATATCAGTTTCACCATATTTCTAATATTTTCATGATTATACAGAATCTACCCATGCCATTCTGTTGTACCAGCCCAAAGAATTTTCTTACGATTTTTTTTCAAAAGTTGATATCAGGTCTTTCTCTGCTCTGTTAAGTATCCAACATCCACTTAATTGTAAGATTGGTTTTGTTTAATACGGAGAAATGGAGTAGTTATATATTTTTTGCTTTTAAAAGTCTTCATAAAATTTGTTAATATTATAAAAAATATTTTTAAAAACTTAACTCTTTTTAGTCCAAAGGGGCTTTGTCCCTGAAGGTTTAAGGACTATTGTTTTCGTCTTGCGATTTTGCGTTGGTTTCACTTTTCAAACTGTTGCCATCAAACGTTAGAGTCCTGCATTATATTTGAAGAAATTAAGTAATGAAAAATCTGCATAAACGCATGCATATTTCTCGCATTGTGATAAAACAACGATACACAGAGCCATCGAATTTTGAATGACGTAATCCTACTGCGAATATGAGCATGTGGAAGCCCAAATTTGAAATTTGGAATTCGTTTTATTATCTATTTCATATTTTGTAAAACTTTAACGAATTTTTGATTAACAAACTCAAGGATTTCAAAGCGAGCAATGGCAATGTTATACAGAAAAACATTTTTTTATCTCCAGCGCGCGAGACTCTGTATCGGAAATTCTAGATATGCTCAATTTAAAACTATTTTGCGATATTGCTCTTGAACTGAATTTTATGGTTTAAGTGCGAAGAATATGATATTTAATAAATAAAGGTAACAGACAAAATGTTAAAAAAGTCCTTTTGGAGGTAATTTAAAATCTGAAAACTTTCATATTCTTTTTTTTTAATTTAAATAACCGTATTAAGTAAAATTCAATAAAGGATGGGAAGATAAAACTCATCTCGAAATAAACATGGAATGGAACAAGAAAATTTATTATATTTTAATCGAAATATTTTCATTTTTACAAAGCAGATTTTGCTCTTTTTAACAGATTTGCAATGAAACAGCCTTTTGGGGGGGGGTTTAGAAATGCGAAGTATTTGCAAGATTTCTGAACCGTTATATTCGGTTATGTTGCAATGTTGCATTACGTTTTATACTACTAAACATATATCATCTAAGCAGCCTGTGAATGTTACCACTGGACGAAACGTAAGATCTTTGGTGTATCTTTCCTACACCCTCGCAAACAGCTAGTTTTCATAGTGTTTTCATTTCACATAAGATTTTTAATTTTTCTTCCAGATTAAATTATCAACAAACTTTAAGAATTAGAAGCAATGAACCCACTTTATTAATTTAAATCTTTATTCCATTTTAAAGAATAAATTAAATTCATGTATTTTATAAAACACTTAATTTGCAATATACACAATTAAAATGTTCGCGAATATTTAGATTATTACCATTAACTAATAAAAATACTTAATAAAAGATATTTGTAATGCCATTTATGACAAATTTCTAAACAAAATCGTTTATTTTTTCTGTTTAATTTTTAATAGATATGCTTTGACACTGGTACACTAATATATTGTAACGTCGTCAGCTATTTTCCCACGGACTCCCATGAAGTCTGGGAAAAGGAGACTTCAAATGGGCGCCAGATGACAACCCTGATGACACTTACGAATTCTTGAGGTCGAACGTGACCCCCAACAAAGTGTGGAAAGCATATTGTTTTTACGAAAGGAGAAAACTTTCATACAAGTTCTCACGGGTTGTGGAGTGTCCATTGTGTGTATGCGATAGACTGTCGCCAACTGCTGTTTCTCGAAATAATTTAGATAGACCTCCCAAAAAGACGTTCTGAATTTTCCCACGGAAAATCTCAGTTTCTCAGGCTGTCAAGACAGTATCTGAGAACAAATCAGCGCCTGTTAACCAATGGAGAGATGCTCCGAAAAAGACG